TTCGAACTAGACGGCAAGTACTATGCCTATACAACCATGCCGATGGGCGCTACTAACGCACCACGACACTTCCACCACGTCATGGGGAAGATACTCAGCCATCTGCCGTTCGCCAGCGAGATACGCTACTACCAAGATGATATATTCATCTCCGCCACCGACCAACGACAACTCAAATACCGATACGAACAGGCTATCAAATACCTCAACAACTGCCACTTTCAAATCAATCATACCAAATCGCAACTCAAGTGTACAGAACTACTGGGTTATACTTTGCATAACCACCAACTATCAATCCCTCAACCGAAATGGGACCGCATAGACCAAATGCTTAAGTCAAACAACCTACCGCTGATCAAACGAGCGGCACAAACGCTCGCTTACTACAAGCACACACTGACCGACAACCAGCTGCTGACTATACGTAAACTACTCACCAACAAGGTGAAGGATACCGACATACTGACTATATACTCCAAAGCCCTAGCGGCGAAACCGGCAAAGACCTTTACTACCGCCTCGGGCAAACCGCTAAGACTGTACCTAGACACTTCAAACCAGGCCGCAGGGCTAGTCCTAAAGCAAGCCGATAATACGCTAATGACTAACTCAATTCCGCTTCCGGCGGTCCACAATTATGCTAACTCTAATGAAGCTCAAGGAGCATATATACTAACCAAACGATACTTATCCCAGATTAAAGACTACGTTAAGACCACAGCTGCCGAACTCCAAGTGTTTACCGATAATGCACTACTTGCTAAGTCCTTGGCTTCGCCAATAAAAATAAACCCGGATACCGAAACCATGTTTTACGCACGCAAGATTAAGGTACTGATGCAGACAATCAAGACGAGCAAATTATCCTTCCATTATGTGCAAGGGAAACTTAACCCTGCCGATATTCCGTCAAGACGAAACCACAAATCACAAGACCAACCAAAACGCAACGCACGATTTAACGCAAAAATTTCCGCACACTTCCGGACACCACTACACTACGATCGCACACCAAATCAGAACCGCACACTAACTCGACCACAACCATCAAATCCAGATCGCACACAACCAGATCTAAGATCTAGATCTGATCTAGATCTAACGGAAATACCAGAGAATACCAGAAAAAGACCGATTATTTCGGAGACGACGAGCACTACAGAACCAACACAGACAACGGAGACTGATCTGAAGAGACGCCGTCTCCCCACTTAAAGAGACACCGTTGCACTTTGCGCTCGGAGCTGTTGCAGGAGTGCGACCTCG